GGAGGAGGAGGAGGAGGAGGAGGAGGAGGAGGAGGAGGAGGAGGAGGAGGAACATTCCTCATGGTGCAAATGCTTTGAAAGTTTGAAATACTTCTCTGGAAGGAGAAGATAGAATTCTTTATTGGCCAAGTGTGAATGGAACACAACAAAATTTGTCTTTGGTGCATAAGCTCTCAGTGTATATCAAAAAAATACATTCACAAATATATAAAAATAGATGCAGCAGATGAAATACTGTATTTATATTATGGGTGGAAACAATGGGAAGAGATTAAAAAACTACGTTATTATAAATGGTTTAATGAAAATTTGGGGAAAGCCTAGGAACAGATTTAATCCTGGATTGTCACAATTGGCTGCAACACTTTAAAGAATAAGATTAATCAATGGATGCTTCGTAATTTGTATGGATTTCAAGATTTGGAGGTGTATAAAATCAGAATGAAATGAAAAGATGACTCAAGAATGGACTGAAACCCCTCACTGATTTCAGCATTCACACACCAGCATGGCAGCACTTAATGAAATGCTTATTATTATTAATTTGAATGTATTTTGTCATTTGAATTAGCCAGTGGACTCTTAATAGAATAATCTTAATAGAACTCAGAATATTTTAATACAAGAGTCTAAATATTTATTAGAATTTAATTATAAACTATTGATAAAATTTGATTCTGAAGCTGAAGTTTGTGTGATTAAACAAATGCATAAAATGGATACTACTGATATCCAACAATGAGAATCTCAATATTAAAGTAATATTAACTTTACTTCAAATAGCATGCTTAAATTTTTGGTGTAAATATTTTTCATTGCTTTATTACTTCAGTTATAATTGTTAAAATGGCTCCAAATTTTTCAAAATGTATTGGAGACATGATAAAAGAATTTTTCAGCTGAAGGTGCCAGTTTTGGAAAGAAAGATATATCTTAAGATGCAACACGTTTATCTTGTCCTACAGCTACTTTATTCCCAAATCCCATCACTTTTCCTGAGTTGACTTTATTTATGTTGTCAATAATGTGAAATAGTGAAAACTTGCAAAAAAAACCAAACCAGGCCCACGTTCCCCCAGAGAACCAAGCTGGGGACATTGTGGGAGGCTTTTCATGGGGCCAGTAGAGTTGGAGAACCACCTCTTGACTGCAACATTCAGAAAAACTCCGGTTAAACAGTCGGGCTTGACTGCCTTGTTAGTCACCATCTTTTACTAGGTTGCAGCTTGTTGCACACTCTCCGTTCCAGGTAGTCCTCGACTTACAAGAGTTCATTTAGTGACCATTCAAAGTTATAACGGCACTGAAAAATGTGACTTGTGAACATTTTTCACACGACCATTGTAGCATCTCCAGGGTCACTAGACCGACCCAAATTCAGATGCTTGGCAACCGGCTCCTATTTATGACGGTGGCAGGATCCTGAGGTCACAGGATCCACTCCTGTGACGAGCAAAGTACACAGGGAAGCCAGATTCACTGAACGACAGGGTTATTAACGTCACCAATGCAGTGATCCACTTAAGAACTGTGCCAAGAAAAATGGGGCAAAACTCACTTAACAAACGTTTCACTTAGCAACAGGAACGTTGGGCTCAGTTGTGGTGGTAACTTGAGGACCACCGACATTTGGTTGTCTTTCTGATTTGCACTATGGGATTGATGTCGAAAAGCAGATAGGATTCTGTAAATGGAAGGGTGGTTGTGAAAGAAAACACACTTACTTTAAAAAGAGCATTGGCTGCTGTTGGCCCTGGGATGTTTTTTATGATGGCCCAACTCTGGGACCCCTGAAAGAGTCACGTGGGAAACAGGGCTTTTGAACTTGTGCACCTGGGTCATTGCAAACCACCTTCCAGGCAGGCTCCATTCCTGGCGGGGTCAGGGTTAGGGTCAGGAGCTGCTCCTCCCGCAACAGGTTCCTCCTCGCTTCCTCCCAGGCAAAACGGACGGATGGTGAGGGTGAGGTCAGCATCCGCGGTGGAGCCTGTCAGGCCTGGGTGGCCTTGCCTGCCTCCTCCGTGCTCAGAGCTTCCACCACCTGGAAGCCATCATGGTGTTCCTCAGGCACCTATGCGAGGCCAAGAGGAGGGGGACTGAGAAAAGGGTCCTCCATGCTGGCGCACAATGCTGTCAGGCAAGCATTCCAGTTCAAAGCCTCTTCCGGCCTTTGGTACTTCCCAAAGGAAAGGTTGCCGAAACCAGGATGTCTTTGGCCTTCCAGAGGTTGAGCTGACCCTTCCAGCCCACATTGACCTAATGTGGCCCACAGCCTCAGCAGGACCAGAGGTCTCCCCCCCCCCCCCGGAGCCATTCTGCCCATGCACCCTTTTGCCCTTTCTCTACTGACTTGAATCATGTGGTCGTGTCGGCACCCAACTAATAGGTCTAAGCAAAGCTTAGTCACCTTCGTTTCCCGCCAGGAGCTCAGACTACGAACAGAACCACCATTTTCCCAGCCTCATTTCCTAGCTCAGTCTAGCCTCTTGTATGACCCGAGCTCCTGGGTTTCATTCTGGGACAGCTGGTGCTAGCTAAGCTACTTGGGCTGGGATTGGGGGGTGGATTTCCTTCCCCTGAGGTCCCAGAGGAAAGGCAGGCTATAAAGCTCAATCAATCAATCAATCAATCATCCTCCGGTCTCAGGGGAATCCGCGGCATCTGATGCAGGTTAAACGGCAGCCGGCTTTGACCCCAAGGAAGCCTTCAAATACCTCCCAATAGATTTCATCCTCGAAGCACAGACCGTCTGGGGGCATCGCAAGGCATCGCATCTTCAGGATGGCCCCTAAAAAAAGGAAAGAGAGACCAGCCAGGAGGAGTGCGGGATCTGCACCGCAGTGGGAGCCGGGGGGCCTTTCCTGGGAGTCCCACTTCCAAATGGGATTGGCCCACCCATCCATGCCAACAGGGCCCACTACAGACCCTGTCAGCCCAGGCACTTGGCGGGGGGGGGGGGGGGTTCAGAGGAAGAGCCCTTTGGCTTCTGTCATCTGGAGCATCAGGTCGCTCAAGGTGAGATGCACCCCACCTGCTCGGCCTCTGCCGATTGGCCCTCCTGGGAGGGAGCCATGGCTAGTGGACGAAGGGGAAGATCTCACCTCCATCCCATCTGGGTATGGCCTCCTACTTTACCCAATTTTTGTTTAATGTTAAGGGGTTTGTGGTTTTTATTTTCTTCTTTTTATGATGATGTAAGCCTCCCAGAGTTGGTGAGATGGGTGACAGAGACGCTTCAAAAATAAATAAAAATGCCAGGGCTGCAGGGCATCTCCCTCCCTCCCGAGGTTGCACCCAAGCGGAGAAACCTCCCCTGCATAGGTGAAAGGCGTGGGAAGAACTGCAGGAATGCTTGTCTGCCCCCTGCCCTCCACTCACCCACCAGGATGCCACCGACCATGGCCATGCCCAGCGACACCAGCAGGCCCAGCAGCTGGAAGAGACTCTGCCGGGTGGAGCTCCGCTGCCCAGAGGCCACCAGGGGGAAGACGTCCGCCATCCTGCAGGAGCAAGGCGGCCCCAGTGAGAGACCCCAACTGCCTCCCTTGGCAGAGCTTCTTTGGGGAGGGGGCCCAGAGAGGGAGGAACTCCCAGTCCTGACCCTCTGTCTCTCCCCCTTCCCCCCGTGTCACAACTTACCCCTCTCCGTAGGCATCTGGGGTTGCCAGAGCGGCCACCAGGGCGCCAAGGAGGGCACCGAGCACGCCGGGCAACCCATGCAGGTTGTGTATTCCGCAGGTGTCCTGGATTTTCAGCCTGGCAGCCAGGATGGGCTGGGCAAGAGAGAGGAGGGAGAGGGTCCTTGCATGGCTGGCACCCTGGCCACCCACCCCCTTTGGGGCTCTGCTGCCGAATCGCCTCCTTTGGAAGGAAAAAGGCTCCTGCAGGAGGCCCCAGCGGGCTGCAGGCGAAGCTTGGCCTACCGTGAGGAACCGGAAGCCAAGGGTGGCCACCAGGCCAGCCACGCATCCAGCGATCAGGGCCCCAAAGGGAGTCAGTGCCATCTCGGCCGAAGTGCCAACGATCACTCCGCCAGCCAGGGCGGCATTCTGGATGTGAACCTGGAGGATGATGGGGGGTGGGGAAGGGGGCCGAGAGAAGAAAAGGACCCAGGAATTGGAGTCTGGAGCTAGAAGTGAATTTCACTTTGCATGCGTTTAACTTAAAATGAAATTCCGTTCAGTTAATGCAATGGAAATACAGCATTTAAAAAAAAAAAAAATGGGAAAGTAGGGGACAGGATTACTAGGTGTGTTCACTGCCTGGAGTTTTATATTTATAAAAAGGTAGAATAAAATAAGGATGAGGCTCCCTGTCGTTAATGGCCCCCTGCCTCAATTGTGATTTGGAGGCAACATCTGGAGGGGCCCAGGAGCCCAGCCTGGCCGAGGGTCCCTGCAGGGGCTCCTTTGAGTGACCCACAGAAAACATCGGTTGGTGTAATGGAAGAGATTCCCCCCCTCCAACTGCCAGCTTTTAAACCAGAGGAGCCGCTGCAGAATCTGGCAAAGTGAGGCCCACAGATCCCTGGCTTCCGTGATTTCCAGCCCTGCCCCCCCAACATCTGGGGGTGACAAACCAGATCCTCCCTCTGAAAGCTGCCTGGGGCTGCCTCACCATGTCCAGCTGGCCTCCTCGGTTCACCAGGGCGGAGATGGCGAAGGTGGCGAGGGTGCTGGATGCCAAGGAGAAGTAGGTGTTCATCACCGTCCGTTGCTGGTCATCCCCGTGGGCGGTCACTGCTGAGTTGAAGCTGGGCCAGAAGACCCACAGGAAGAGCGTGCCTGCCAGGGACACAGACCGGGGGGGGGGGGGGCAGAATTTCTGTGGTCCTCCCTCCTTTCAAAAGCGAGAAAGCCCGCCCCCTCCCCACCGCCGGTTTCCAAGAGGCTTAGACTGCCTGTTGGGGCAGCAGGGATGGTCGTGGGCAGCCATAATGCACCAGAAACCAGTAAAGAAACCCTCCCTCATTCCTGAACCAAGGCCATGTCCATCCCCAGACCCTTCCCTGCAGACCCTCGGCCTCCCTCAGGCCTATCTTGGACAATCGCTAAAAACCAGCAACCTTTTTATCCAGGGGTGTCCAACCTTGGCCACTTTAAGACTTGTGGAATTCTGGGAGTTGAAGTCCACGAGTCTTAAAGTGGCCAAGGTTGGACACCCCTGTTCTATACGTAGCCACTGCAACCACCGAGTGAGGCTGAAGATCATTCTAGGCAAAGCTAGGAAACTCCTGTCGCTTAGCCCCGCCCCTTGGCACCCTTGCCCCGCCCACCAGCGCCCCTCCCGCCTCAGCTTCTCTCCTAAAGGTGCAGAGCCAGCCGCCCCTTTGGGGAGCCTCACCAATCATAGCAAAGAGGTCCGAGTGGTAGGTGGAGCCTTCCCGCTGCCGGCTCTTGTCCAGGTGGGGCCGGAAAAGGACCCGGGACACCACCAGCCCGAAGTAGGCCCCGAAAGTGTGGATGGTCATAGAGCCCCCGGCGTCTTTCACCTGGGCCAGACGGGAGGGAAACGAGGCCTGCAGGAGGGGCGGCTTCCACGGGGGGGGGGGCAGCATATCGTTTTCAGCCCCAACAACTTTTCAAAGTCCTTTGAAATCCCCTGCCAGGCCTGCTTTATCCCCCACCATTCCCTATTTGGAGATGGGTTAATTTTAATTGTTGATTCCAATTGTTTATGGAGCTGTCCATCTCATGGAAGTGGCTCTCAGTGCAACCCATGTTCCCCCAGTGAAGGAAACTCCTCAGAAGCCGAAAGCCCCCCAGAGCTCACCAACCCCCTTGACCCAAATGCCGGGGCAAAAGAAAGGCTCCAGGCTAAGGTCTGATGAAGGGGCATCGCGAGGGGGCAGACATGGGTAAAGACTGGGGTCTGACTGGTGCTTGGCGGGAGGCCCTCCGGGGCCCCATGCACAGGGAAACGGGGGCCAGAGCGAAGACCCAATGTGGTCCCAAGACACCCCCTGAGAAATGGGCAACATGGGTGGGTGGGTGGGGGAGAGGGGGACGTTCTTTGGGGCCGAGCGTCATGGTCAGAAGTCAAGGACAGGAAGCCAGAGTTCTGCCAATCGTGAAATTAGGAATGGGTTAGCCCCTCCCTCACACCCCCTCAAAAGGATTGGGAACCAGGGACTTTGCACACTTTATGTAACTGGATTCAGGGGGTGGGATCCGGCGCTGAGTTGCAAGATGGAGGAGTAAAGAGTCACATCAGCCTCGAATCGGTCCTGTGGCGCAGAATGGCCCTCCCTAATTCTTCGCAGCATCTATCAGCGAATTACGCAGAGGGTGCTTTAGTCCAGCAAGATTCGGTCTATCTTGCCCCAAAGCAGTCAAGAAACCACTTTTAGAATTTCTAGGCGTCCTTCTTGGTTTCCCGTGCCAGACATATCACATATCCTGGGTCTAAATGGTTGTGCGAACGCAGCTTCTGAGCGGCTTTGGGTTACAATCTCTCACCCTGCACCCATCATCCCATCCCATCCCAAGCAATTCACCTGAAGGAGGCTGAGCAGGATGTACTCGTTGATGCCAAAGAGGGTGACTTCCAGCCCGGCCATCAGCAGCAACTGAACGGGGCTCGTCTTGCCCAGCAGCGCCCCGAAGGAGATGAGGACGGAGCCGGCACAGAAGTCCGCGTTGATCATGCTGGGGGGGGGGGGGGGGGGGGGGGGGGGGGGGGGAGGGCGGGCTGGGGGGGCGGGGGGGGGGGGAGGGGGAGGGGGTGAGTGGGAGAGAAAAAGCTAGCGGGAGATTTTCCCTTCACATTCATCTCGGTTGTGTTTAAGTAAGGCTTTCCAAAGAGCCTGCCCTTCAAATGCTTGACCTCCCCCTCCCCCTTTATGGGGAGTTTGCGGGGGGCCTGAAGTGGAGAGAGGCTCCCCCAGCCTTCCTGCCCCCCCAGCCTCCCTGCAGGAGGAAGGCCCCCTTCCTATGCACAAGGCACCCAAGGCTGCCCAGGCTGAGCTGGAGATGAAGGCGCCGATAGGACAGGCTGAAGCCAGGTGGGCTGTGCTGGCTTGGGGTCCTGTGGGGAGGAGCAGGACCACCCAGCAGGAGGGTCGGGGGATGCTCGGAGAGACGGTTGGTGGCACAGCACCCCTCCCCGCATCCCCAAAGCCCCTCACTGCTCTCCAGTGAGTCCAGTCAGGGGCAGCTCCGAGATCAAGAGGGCTGACGGCCTCCACGCCTCTTGCTTGCTTGATTTGGACGTCCATTGCCAGGGCCACCCCTTCATTGCCTTGGGGTCTGCGGGGGTGGTCAGAACAATCCAGAGGTGGCGCTTTAGTGGCAGGCCTCATCTTTTGCTTTTAACCACACCCTGCAGATCCTCCCTGCCTTCCTCTGTCTGGAGGAGGGAGGTTTCTCCAAGTCGGCAAGAAAAGGCGATGGGATATTTGGAGGCTGAGGTTCAGTTGAGTGTCTCAAATGCCCAGGGCCGTGCCAGCCCCCGCCCGGCTCCACCTTCCGGTCCTTCCGCTGCCCCTGCTGAAGCTAAGGCTCAAGGAGGCCAGGCCTGGCTTGCTCACCTTTCTATGCCCACGTGGATTTTGCCATTGCGAAAGGTGTGGAAAAATCCCTGGATGAGGATAGACCACTGGAGGGCGAAGGCAGCGATCAGGAAATTGAAAGCCACCCCACCGAAGCTGTAGCGTTTCAGGAAGGTCATCAGGAAGCCAAAGCCAAGGAAAACCATGACGTGGACATCTTGGAAGCCTGCGGGAGAGCGAGGGGCCGGGTCAGCAGGGCACGAGTAGATAGGCTCTGTGGTGGCCCCGCTGAGCCTGGCCTGGCTAGTCAAACTTCTCCCTGGCTTCCAGCTAATCAGCCGGGCTCCAAGGTTGGACACGGAGGCAGCTGCAGAATTGGGTTCAAAAAGTGACCTCATTAGATGCAGCTGATAAGAGCGAATGTGTGTAGCAGCTGCAGGGCAGAGCCCGTCAACGGCTCGGCAAGTGAGGTTGTGCTGCGGCCGCTCTCGGCCGGCTGAGTGGGCGCTGGGAGGGATGATGGCCTGTGGGATGGCCAGCTCCTCCTCCACTGAACCCCGAGGCCGGCGGCTGACACGCAGTCAGGCTCTAGAGTTCCGGATCCACTCAGGAATCCGCAGTGGCTGAGGCCAAACTATCAATGGCGTGAAAGCAACCAGGTTTTGCTTAGGTCAGGGCAGGGCAGCGTTTCTCAACCTTGGGTGGACTTCAGCTCCCAGAATTCCCCAGGCAACATGGCTGGCTGGGGAATTCCGCAGCCGAAGAAGAAGATCTTGACGTTGCGAAGGCTAAGAAACCTGGCCTGGCTCCCCAACCACGTTGCATCTCGGCTACATCTCAGGGTGGGCTGCCTTCCGGGGGAAGAGCTGGGGGTCCCAAGGACCATTCCGAGGAGATGCTGGTGAGGAGGGCAGGAGCTGCGGGTCAGAAAGAAAAGGGCTGATGGCTGCAAAAGGGACGACCCAAATGGCCAGGGGGCTCAAGGAGGTCCATCCGGGGGCTCTGGAGCCTGAAGAACAGAGCAACGGGAAGAAGGAAGGGCAGGGAGAGAATTCCTTTGCTGCCTCCCAAAAAAAGTTGTCAAGCAAACATTTTGCTGAACCAGCAGCTCATCAGCCCTGGGGTTTTTCCCCCCCACAAGATCCGCTGGCACAGCCTGGGGAAGGAGCAGCTTCTCTTGGGCCCTCGCTGCCCACCAGGGGAAGCAAAACCTCCCACCAGACGGACGGACGGACGGACGGACGGCGGAAGCTGCAGCCAACGGGGCTCTTTGGCCTCCTGGGGCACCTGGAGCCTCAGGGACAGACTGGGAAGGGAAGGGGGTGTCGTATCCTTTTGGGAGGGGTTCCCAGCTAGGAAGAATGGACCCAGCTGGACCCCAAAAGGCAAAGGATTTTTTTTTGGGGGGGGGAATTGGCTTCTCGGGCAGCCATTTTGTGAATGTGCTCGTGACCTGATCAAATCATGGCTCTGTTGGCCTAACTTTGGGGATCTTGTTGCTCGTTAATGCCAGAGATCCTATGGCAGCTTTTCTGTCTCAGCCTTTCCTTCCTGCAGGGCCTTTAAAAAAAACGCCCTTTACAGAAACGATGCGACCCAATCAAGATTGAGCTGTTTTTTGAAGAGTACATAAATTAAATCCATAAATGGTGGTTTGCCAGGTGGAGGCAGTAGCCGGTCTTGGGTTAAGACTGAGTTAAGCCACCACCAGGTGGGAAGTAGTTGTGGAGGGCATCTGGAGGAAATCAAAGGCAAACAAGAAGCCAGGACTTAACTGGGTTCTGCACTCAAAAACACCATTCCAAAAGCATATGGAGGCTATGGCAACCTGCCTCGGGGTTACAGGTGCCGCTTGGCCCTCAGAGGGAATCAGGAGGGATCCTCGGGGAATTTCCAAAGCTTCCATTTCCTCCCCCCCCCCCTCCAGAAACCAAACCAGTGAAGCAAGAAGTCTCGAGAGCAGGTGGAAGGGGCACCGATTTCGGAAAGAGGGGCGTTTTTCCTGGGCCCTCGTTCCTCCTGTGCTCCCGGGGGCCTCCCTGGCAGGACCTGGGCACCCTGGCAGGAGGGCATTTCCTGCACCGGAGATACTCACTTGGGTAGCGTGGGTAGAAGTCGTGGTCCAGGGGGCCTTTGCTGTGCAGCTGCATCTCCTCTTCGTGCCACAGCCGGGGGCTGGTCTGGCTGTCATACTGGACGAAAAAGGCGAACAGGAGGACCGTAGCCAGCTGCAGGAGGGCGCAGAGCAGGGGCAGCTTCACCCTCAGGTTGGTGGCGTGGCCTGACATGGTGGGAGAGCCGCGCCGAGGAGAGCCAGCCGGGAGGGCAGCAGCAGGAAGAGCCAGCGAATGTCCCGCTTTCCTGGAGGAGGAGGGGGGGGGAGGCACCCTCCTGGGCTGTTTGCTCACTGCTCAGCCTGGCCGGGAGCCACCTGCTCTGGGGCGGGCCCGGCTGGGGGAGGGTGGGGCGGGCGGGCAGGGAGGGGGCGGCACTGGAGCGCCCCAGCCAGGTGAGGGGCCCTCCCGCCGGCCAAAGGGCGAAGGAGGCAGGCTCACCTTGGCACCCAGGGGGGTCTGGTGGGGGGCCCCCCGCTCTCAACCCAAGTGGTCTCGAAGGAAGGTGGCCCCTCCCCAATCGGGATGGTGCCAAGGGCTCCCCATGGCTTCCCTCCCCTGGGGTTTGTCAGGGAGGGGCAAGGCAGGAAGCTGCCAAGAGATAAGGAGGCCGGGAGCCTTTCCCCAAAAACCAGCCCCGGCTTGTCCACGGAGAGAAAACAGCCACAAAGGGTTGTCTTCTTGGGGAGAAGAGCAGCGGGCAGGCCAAGGAGCCCTCCCTTCGCTGCCCCCCACCCACAACAGCCCCCGTGCCTCCGTTTCTGATGCCAGTGGGGGTTCTGGTCCCCACAACGACCACCGTTTCCACCAGGTGGGCAGGCGCTGCTCCAATGAGGCTCTGCCAATCTCCAGCAGTGCCAGCCAGGTCAGCAGCCACGGTGCCCCCTCCTCCTCCTCCGAGGGGGCAAAAGCAGCCGGAGCCAGCCCAGATTTGGGCTCCAACTGCCACCTGCGGGGCTCCTTCACGCCCCCAGCAGCCTCTCCCGCTTTGCTGGGCAGGTCAGGTCCTGTGGGTGGCCCCTTCGCAGGGCAGAGAGGGCCCTGGGGACGCTGCCCCCCTTGGCTCCCTCACCGCTGCCTCCCCCCCGCAGCCTTTCTCCTTGCTCCCACAGCAGGCAGGTGCCGCCTTTTGCCCCCGATTGGGAAGCAAAGGGCATCCAAGCAGATGAAGTGCGTTACTTGGTTAACCATTAAGCCTGCCGCTGGGGTCTGTTTATCTTTACTCCTCATCTGGGACAGGTTGTTTCAAGGTTTTGCAACCTCTCCTTGCGGTGGTCTCTGCTCTGCTCCTGGGAGGCCCTGCCTGAGGCCCTTAGCAGGTCCTCCCTCCCCCCTTCCTGAGCCTGGGCCCCCGGGCCGAGCGTGGCAGGGCTAAGCTGTGCCCCATGGATGCACTGCATGGAAGAAGCCACGTCCCTCCCCGTAGGGGTTCCACTCATGGGGAGATGGGGGGGGGGGGATCTGGCAGAGGGGGCCATCCCGGGAGTCCTAGGGTCCAGGGATACTCAGGCCACCTTGGGGGGGGGGAGGAGGCCAAGGGCCCAGTATTGATAATTGCACTACGTCCACGTTGGCTTAAACCTGCTGCCCTTCCTGCCAATTAAGGGAAGTTTTGCTGGGACTTTCAGTGGTTGTTGAATGTTTGCAGAACCGCCATCTTTGCCCCCCCCCCCAAGTCAACTGGCCCCTCCCAGAGTTTGGAGCCAGGATTTCTCAGGGCAAGAAAGTCCCATTTCATTGTGTTAGCTCTTCAGTCCAAGCAGTTGATAAGCACAAAGCACCAAGTATCTTTTAAGAAACTTGTCCTAGTTCAACAGGGATTAAAAACAACAGAACGAATCCCAACCACATGAAAAAGACGGAGATTCTCCAACTTTGTGGCGCTGTCACCTCCTTCAATTTCCAACAACAGGACTGACCTTTCTCCTCACCAGAGCGGAAACAACTGAGAAGCCACCTCGAAAGCTCAGGAACCTTCCAAATAAAGTCTTCGCGGAGTCCCAAAGTCAGAGGAAGTTTCCTTCTGCTTCTCGAATGTGGCAGGTGGGTTTCTTCCTATTTAACCTCCCAACTCTTGAGGTTGAAACCTTTGAAAGGCTTCCTTGGAGTAGTCTAAAGCTCCCTGGCCCCATTTCTGCTTGGGGGCAGCTGACACCACGTATTTGAGGGCAGAGAGTCGAACAGAACGAAGAAAGGCATGTGACAGACCCAGGTAGATGTAAAAAGGTGGGAGAAAATGCCACCTGTGTTTACTGCAATCACAATTACATACATCAAATTCTATTTAAAAAGAGTCCGTAAAGTTTAACTTCTTCCCTACTTTCTTCAGATTCAAGATTTTCAGTGCAGCTGAGCTGAGAAAGAGGCCCAGGCAGAAGAGGAAAAAGGGGAGTGGTAACCTCCGTGGCTGTTGAACAACGGCTTCTCACTAAGTGGCCAAGTGCTGTTTAAGAGTTTAGGAAGAGGACGTCCCAGCAAGATGTTGCGAAAAGAATCCGCTGCTTTCTGGACTGGGCTATTCTTGAGAAAAGAGGAGATTCGACGGAAGTGGGCATGAGGGCATGAGGGTCTCCTTTCTGGCCCCACGATGCCTGAGCTACCCCTGCCTTTGCCGACTGGGGCCCCTTGCCAAGAGTGTGACTGTCCCACAACCCCCACGATGGGGAAGGGGTGGCTTCTTCGGACCTCCTGGTTCTTCTCCCAATGCTCCTAAGCTCTGAGGCTTTCGCCAGGGCTTCTGACCTGGGCAAGGTCCAGCGGGAAGGGAACGAGCAAAGAGCTGGCAAGTGGGTTGACACGAGTGTCCTTGGAAAGTCCAGGGCAGGGCCCCCCAAACTTGGCCGCTTTAGGACTTGTCGACTTGTGGACTTCAACTCCCAGAATTCTCTAGCCAGCTGGCTGGAGAATTCTGGGAGTTGAAGTCCACAAGCCTTAAAGTGGCCAAGTTTGGAGACCTCTGGTCCGGGGCAACAAGCCATCTTTTAGCCAGGTATTCCCCATGGCAAACCTGGGCCAAAATGAGCAGGAAAGAGAGGCCCATCATGTGGCAGTCACTACGGAGACCATGAGGCTGCCTTTTGCAGAGCAGGAACCCATCAGATGCACAGCAGCAGATGATGGACTCTCACACAAACAGTGGTTTGTTTGCGCTGGAGAGAACAAAGCGTTCTGGGCTTTGGTGCCTCGTCACATGCAGCCAGGACTGTGAAACAATGGCCCAATTCTCCTGGCCCCACATAGAGGGGGTGGCATCCTTCCTCCCTTGCCCCCTTTGCAAGGGACCCTAACCCACCAGCTCCCTGGCTGTCCCTTGTGGCTTTTTCTGATCCGGAGCAGTGAAGGGAGCGGAGGCCTTTAGACCCAGGGATTTTGCTCCCTTTCCTGCCGGACTCCAGCCACAGAGGATGCAGCCTGGTCTGAAGGGGCATTTGGAGCCCTGCATTGGATGGGCACCATTTCACCAGCCCTCTTTCTCCTGCTGGGCACTGCCAGCCCTTCGACAGACGAGGAACCAAACAACAAAGGCCATCGCTACCTTTGCTGGATGATTCAAACACAGTAACTGAACCTTGCAAGGCTGAAAGCTTCTCTCCCCCAACTTGCTTTTAGGAACCGTACGTGTGTGTGTGTGTGTGTGTGTGCGTGTTTCCTTCTGAGACGCTCCCCACCGCCATTCATCTGTGGACTGAGGTGCCTCTAAGCTGACCGTTGCCCGGTTGTGGCTCCCTCATCCTATCCCCCAAGGATATTCCCACAGACCGTTGCATCTCCAATTGCCCCTGCCTGGTTTTATATTTGTCCCAAACAATCCCAATTAGGCTCGGAAAAGACTATTTTGAAGATTTAAATAAAATTGTGTTGAAATATATATGGCAAGGTAAGAAAGCGAGAATAAAGTTAAAACTTTTGCAAGATGCTAGAATTAGAGGAGGATTTGGTTTGCCTAATTGGGAGCTGTACTACCAAGCCACAAACTTGATGTGGGTCAAGGAATGGATAACATTAAGAAATACTAGATTGTTGACATTAGAAGGACATGACTTATAGTTGGGGTGGCACGCTTTTTTATGGTACAAGGGAACTAAAATACAGAGGTATTTTAGAAGACATCATATACGGGAGTCTTTGTGGTTAAATTGGGAGAAGATTAAAAGACAATGTTATTTGAAAATTCCAGTCTGGCTATCGACTATTGAAGCATTTTCCTATCCTATAATATACAAGAAGGAACAAACAGTTAGATATGGGGAAATATTGAATGAAAAGGGTGAACTTAAATCTATGCAAAAACTAGAGGAACAAGGTATAAAGATGAATTGGTTTTCATATGCGCAAATACGCCCAGGACCATCTTCTTGGCCACTACTAGGAACCAAATGTTGGGTTACGATGGGCTTTGGCTGGAGTCAGATTAGGTGGTCCCCTCCTGTTATCTGGCCAAGGAGGCCGAGGGCCGGGCTAAGAGGATCAGGAGGAGGAGGAGAGAGAAGCCACCTATTGCTGAGTTCCAGATATATTTTAGAAGCTTTCTGGAGATCTGAGAAACAAACGTTCTTGACTTTCCTTTCTCACTCACAGCTTGCAACTCCTGGCAACTGGCTACCTAAACAGGGAGAGTTTTAAAAGGCCAGAAGTTCTGGCTGCACCAAGAGGTGAGTTGGGTCCACATTAGAGGAACCTTCCATTGGATGCCAGGGATTCAAATCACCCTTGGAGTCACGCATCATTTTAAGCACCACACTTGAACAGGGGCAGAAGGGAGAAACTGGCGTGAGGAGACCCGCCCCAAGGGGGCTCCAAGCGGGGGGAGGGGGTGCTTGGTTTGCAAAAGGGAAGAGAGAAACCTCTAAAGGGGGTTTGAATCCGAGAACTGGAGAAGGGCCCAAAGGTTGGTTTTGAAACCCCACACCCAAATGTTGGACACTGGGCAACGGAGAAGGGCCAGAGGCTGCGGCATCAGGTGCCTGAATGCGGAGGCTTCAAGGAAAACAGCTTCTGTAGCTGGGGGCTGAAAGTGGCTGAAGCTGGTGCATTATGGGAAACTCTCTAGGGCTTTCAGCATCCCTGCACTGGTCCTTGGTCCTTGTAGGTCCCCAACCCAGCATCAGAAGGGTGTTGATGGTTCGTCTGAATTCTTCTTCCATAAAGGCAGGCTTGTTTGCTGGGTGTTGCCCTGTTTGCCAGGCCAAACAATGGGGAGCTGTTTCCTCTCCTTTGTTTTCGTGTATTCTTGGAACAAAGCCGTGGTGCTGGGGGTGCAAGTGACAACACACACACAGAGAGAGCGATGGGGCAGAGGGCGGCAAGGCGAGCGAGAGCAGAAGGATGAGGGGACCCTGCTCTTCTTGGGCACGGAGCTCCAGTTGGTCCTGATGCGGCCCAGGCTCCTTCCTCAGAGGCACCCGCAGATCTCTCTTCCTGCACGAGGATTTGGGCAGATTCCGAAGAAGGTGACGGGTGGGCCACTTTAGAGTGACGGCCGGTTCCTGTTCTGGCTGGGGATCTGTCGATGAATCGCACCAGGTACAGCTCTTGTGGATTGGTTTATGCAATTTATATGCTATCCGAAGTGATTCTGGTTGGCTGACAAAGGCATAGATGTAAAACATGAACATGAACAGCCTTAAAATAAAGACCAGAAACCAAGCGCTCATCCTCTTCAGCCTTATCAAAGGCCTGAACCGCTGCTCAGAAAATCATTTATAAAAATAATTTGAGTTAGTGCAGCAAAGCAAAAGCGTCCAGAATTTATTTGGCATATTTTTGTTTCCAAAGGAAGGTTGTGGGAGTGGAGGGGAGAACAAACGGGGTCGGCCTGAGAAGAGTCCAGCAAATGTTTGGGAGTGGGGAGAGGTGAACCCCTGGAGCCTTGGGCCCTCTGGCTCCCATTTCACCCTTGTCTTCAGCCTCCACCCACACGGCGCATGATGAGCACCCCAAAAGCTCTGCTGGTCCTGTACAGGGGAAGAAGGAGGCTGACCCAACTAGAAGGGGTGGCAGCATGGAATGAAAACTGCCTGGCAGAGACTCAAACGCAGGGCCATCGTCCATCGTCTCCACCTTTTGCTGGCATTCTGGCAAGAAACGGGCGGCTGGGCAAGGACTGGCCAAGCTCCGCTCTTCTTGATTTTCATTCTTCAAAGGCTCAGAACCGATTCAGAAGCTCCGCTTTTAGGGCAGAGGAGGATCATGGTTCTCAGTCAATGAGGAAATCCTCTACTCGGTTGGTTGGTTGACAGAGTAAGAGGTTATTTTAGGGACATTTCTTTCCTAGGGCAGATAGTATAAGTGACGGTGGACTTTAAGGTGGGCACGGACTGTTGAGTTTCCATCCCGTGTTTGCAGATCATCTGAGTCCTCTTCATGTTGATCCCCTGGTTTCTTCTAGCCCAAACTCACTCAAAGGATAGGATAGGATAGAGCTGGAAGGGACCTTGGAGGTCTTCTAGTCCAGCCCCCTGCTCAAGCAGGAGAACCTATACTATCTCAAACAAGCAACTGTCTCTGCTTAAAAGCCTCCAGTGATGGAGCACCCACCATTTCTGGTGGCAAGCTGTTCCACTGGTTAATTGTCCTCCCTGTTAGGCAGTTTCTCCTTAAATCCAGGTTGCTCCTGTCTTTGCTTAGTTTCCATCCCTTGTTTCTTGTCCTGCCCTCTGCTGAATAATTTCACCCCCTCTTCTGTGTGGCAGCCTCTCAAATATTGAAATACTGCTATCACATCCCCCCTAATTCTTCTTTTCTTTAGACTAGCCAGACCCAAATCCTTCAGCCGTTCTTCATACATTTTGGTCTCCAGGCCTTTGATCCTCTTGGTTGCTCTTCTCTGAACTTTTTCCATAGTCTCAACATCATTTTTGTAGTCTGGGGATCAAAACTGGTTGCAGGATTCCAGGTGTGGCCTTATACTGGGGGTTTCTAAAGTGGTCCTGAGGCTTCGCATGGTTTTGATTCTACGCCTCTGTTTCACCACCCAGGACTGTATCAGCGTTTTTGGCTGCTGCTGCTGCACATGGCTGGATAAGGGAGCCCCGCTACGGTTATTCTCTGCATGGAACAAAATGGGCCCTCCGGTCGTCATTTGCCCCCGAGTCGGCAGTGGCAACCCAGCCCTTGAGCCTGGCTGCCTGTTCAGGGCGTGGACCAAGGCGCAAGGCGCACCTGATGGCAGCCAGAATTTGCTGGGTCTCTGAGTTTGGCTCTGCCAGCCCTAACAGACCTTGGCATCAGACCTAGAGAGGACGTCCAGAAGGCACCCGGCAGAGGGAGCCCCGTCTTTCCAGGGGTGGTGTTGTTGTTCCTCATGCTGGTTTTCTGTATGTGGGAAACAGGGGAGGGGGAAACGTGCCTGGTTTGCAGTTGAGTCTGTGGCACTGGAAGGCCCCTCTGGCTTGGAGGGTTCGGGAAGGCCGCCCTTCTCCCCGTCAGTCTGGGGTGGCTGAGACAGCTCGGCCCTTTCCTGCCGGGTGTTGGTGAGGTGCTGCTGTGCCTCCGTGGCCCCCGGGGTGACGGGGCCCCTCTCCTTTTGCAGGCACACCAGGTACCAGCTGCTGCTCCAGGCATGCCTCTGTGGCTGCTCCTGGCGTCCCTGTGTCTCTCTTCAGCTCCCGGAGTCCCTGCCATCTACCAGAGGCCAAGCGGGACTCTGCCAGGTAGGCCACAAATGCCCGTCCTTGACCAAGCCTCTCCCGGGGGTGCCTGCCCCAGAATGCCCTGGCTGTTGCTGGTGCCCTCCTGGCTGCCCCCTGAGATGGGCAAGGCCCACCCCTGCTTGCAATGTTGCTGAAGCCCACCATTCCCCGAAGCCTCTCGTTCCCCTTCTCGTTCCCAGCGTGCAAAGACCGTTTCCCCAGGGTCGCCCAAGGGTTTGCTGCAGTGCCCCGTTCGCTTCATTAGATGGGGGGATTTGCACGCGGAGAGCTTCCCCTCTCTGCTGTTGGCCTCGGCATCTTGTGCCCGTGTGTTTTTTCTCCCCTCCCGCAGCAACTCCTGCCCCCTTGCAGTACTTGCTGGAGCCCACCAACAAGATAGTGCAGGCCCGGCGGGGGGCTTCAGTCACCCTGCCTTGCATCCTGTGGGTCGTGCCCCCAAACTACAAGATCCGGTGGAGCAAGGTGGAGCCAACGGAGTACCTGGAAGTTGCCATCTTGATCAGCAACGGGGTCCATCACAAAACCTACGGCCCCCTGGGCAGCCGGGCTCACCTGAAACGTAGCCACCGGTATGATGCATCCCTGACCGTCTCCAACCTGACCTTGGAGGATGAGGGCCGCTATCGCTGCCAGCTTGTCAATGGCCTGGAGGACGAAAGCATCTCTCTGGTCTTGCAGCTGGAAGGTAGGAGGGGCTCCCAGGCAAGGCGGAGAGTTCTGGGTCTCATCCACCCTGGGAAGCCGATGGAAGGAGCCTTGTGCCTTTTGGCAGAGGCCGCGACAGGAGGAGGGGGACCATTGTGCGACGTCTCCCGTCCCTCCAGCAGGGTGACCGTCTGGGGCGCAGCCTCCTCTGAAAGGCGGATGGCTAAAAGTGGGGCCGCCCCCCTGCCTAGTGGGAGGGAAGAGGGTGTCCAGGTCAGGTCAAGGTTCCCTGTCGCTGGGGGTGCAAACCGGACAAGCCGCAGGCGCTTAACTGGAGCACCTGCAATCGGCTTCTTCAGGGAACGGCGTCCCTGGGCTTTGGCGTGGAGGGTGGGGCGTGTGTCTGCGTGGGCTGCCCAGCCTCTCTCCCCTTCCCGCTGCCGGGCCCTCAACTTCTTGCCCTTTTGCTCCAGGGGTCGTCTTCCCCTACCAAACCAGCCAGGGGCGCTATCAGTTCAACTACTTTGAGGCCAAGAAGGCTTGCCAAGAGCAAGATGCCCGACTGGCCACCTACCAGCAGCTTTACCAAGGTAACCAGTTCGGGCTGTGGGCAGGAAATGATGGGAGACTCAGGGAAAATCTGTTTAATGGGGGGGTTGAAAGGGCTAGGAGTCAACACCAACCTGATGGCGCATAATCAGCCTGTCAATTCCCCTGCCCCTTCCCCAAAAAGCCCCTCCAAGGCAAAACTCAAAGGTGATGCAAGTTGAACATTTGTTTTCTCACTGAGTTGTCATCTGGCAGATGATAAGGCAGCAAAAAATAATTGATCAGGTTTCCAAGCCAAAGATAAGCGTGCTTGAACCTTCCCATCATAATTCATACTTTCAGAATTCAGTGAATTATTACCATGGCAAGTAACGGTTGTAAGGATCCTTGGAGATCATGTAGTCCAGCCCCCTGCCCACTACTGAAAAGTACCCCTACAGCATCCCAGCCGAAGGGCCTCCAGCCTCTCAGACCCCAAAGCAACGGGGAGCCCACCGCCTCCTGACGTCCAGTCCCTGACGTCCTTGCAACTTTAAGCCAGGCAGAGCCTCCTCCTGTCCTTGGGTTCTGCCCTTGAGCTGGGGAAGGCAGCTACGTGGTCTCTCTGTGGGCTTCTCTTCTCCACACCAAACCCTGCCCAACCTCTGGTCCTCAAGATCACTCATGCAATGAACACGATTCCCCCCCACCCCACCCAGGCATTTCAGCTATTTTGGTTTCCATCCTCCTTTCTATGCTCTGCAATTCTCAGGAATGAAGGGCAGCTCTGGGGGGATCTTGGCATTGGTTGAACGTCAAGGACTCAATCCAGCCTCCCTCCATCTCCCTTCATCTCTCTTCTCTTCTCTTCTCTTCTCTTCTCTCTTCTCTCTTCTCTCTTCTCTCTTCTCTCTTCTCTCCTCTCCTCACTCTTCTCCTTTCTCTTCTCCTCTCTTCTCCTCTCTCCTCTCCTCTCTCTTCTTCTCTTCTCTTCTCTTCTCTTCTCTTCTCTTCTCTTCTCTTCTCTTCTCTTCTCTTCTCTTCTCTCTCCTCTCCTCTCCTCACTCTTCTCCTCTCTTCTCCTCTCTCCTTTCTCTCTTCTCTTCTCTTCTCTTCTCTTTTCTCTTTTCTCTTTTCTCTTTTCTCTTCTCCCCTCCCCTCCCCTCCCCTCTCCTCTCCTCTCCTCTCCCTTCCCCTCCCCTCCCCTCCCCTCCCCTCTCCTCTCTCTTCTCTTCTCTTCAGTACATCAATACTGTGGCCTCTTGTGTTCATGGTCAGCTACTGTCCTGGAAGTGGGGGGGGAAGGGAAGGGAAGGGATGGATCTGGAAGGACAGGCTTGAGAAAAGGTCAAGTCAGCAGAACAGGTGCACCTGGGGCAGAAGATGAGGAACGCTTGCATGCTTCTTCACAAATTAACGGGGTGGGAGATCTTCCACCAATTCCTTGTTTATTTCTCCAGAGACCTGGGTGGGAGGCTGGGGTTGTTTATCCCAGGACTGGCAAATAGAATTGGGAATCCGCACCCTTTCAAGATCTTGCTAAACTTCCTGTCTCTCTGCGGCTCCTGTGTCTCTAATGGCCAACGATTAGGTAAATCCACGGCGACCATCACCGCCCAAATGTCTGTCCGAAGCATCTTAGGGAAGAAGCCAAGGTTGTCTCCCCTTCTCTGCTCCTCTCCTAGCATGGACAGAAGGGCTGGACTGGTGCAACGCCGGCTGGGTCATGGAGGGGAGCGTGCACTACCCCATCCGCAACTCTCGCAAGCCCTGCGGAGGCCTCCTCCTCCGGCCCGGAGTGCGAAGCTACGGCCCCAAGGACAAGCAGAGAGACCGGTTTGATGCCTTCTGCTTCACGTCAAGCGTGCAGGGTAGGTGGAGGCAGGCCAAGGGACCCCGCCAGGAAGGCCCGTTGCTGAGGCCCAGGTTGGGGGCAGCTTCTTTCCCCCCATTCTGGGAGGGACCCAGAAGGAGCCACTTTCTCAGGCCTCTCCTTGGAAGGCTGGCTGTGGCCGGCTCATCCACGAGGATGAGCTGGCAGTGGGTGCAGCTCGTGAAGCAGAGATGCCAATGGGCACAGCGAGGCAGGTCCCCACCCCTTTGTTCTGGACTGGCTGAAGGTTCCTGGTGGTTCTCAGGGGAAGCCCTACACAGGGCGTGTTTCAGGAGTCAAGCAGCAAGAGGACCAGGGGTCTCCTCTCTCCTCTAAGGCTCCTGATGTACCAGATGTACCTGTGCAAAGGCTTCCTGGCCAGGGCTGCCACCTGCTCCTTGAGTGGCGGCGGTGACTCCAATTGGTGGCCCCTCGTGAATGGGGAAGGGCTGCCCTACCTGAGGTTAGAGATGGAGCATCGCCCCCAGATCAGATGGCTAAAAGTGATCCCCCCTGAATAAAGCCAAGCCCTTCCGTCTTGCCTGTCCCCGGCCTCTCGTCTTCCTGCTAGGTCAGAGGTCTGCGAGCCTGATAACTTTAAGACTTGTGGACTTCAACTCCCAGAATTCTCCAGCCAGCTATAATGGAACTCCAGAAGTCTTAAAAGTTGCCAAGTTTGGGGACCCCTGGGCTAGGGGGGGGGGAAGGTCTCGTTGAATGTTTACTGCCCAGCAGCTGGATTTGGGTATCCGGGCCTTGCAGCTTCATCACCCAGTGGTTTTTTTTTGTGGGAAGGCACCCCATTACTGCTAGTCTGGCTCCGTTCTGGGCTGGGAAGCTGTCATCTTGCTCTCTTGTAGTCACCCTCTCTTTTGCCCCCCCCCCCCCGTCCCTCATCCAGGCCGTGTCTATTTCATCAGGGGCCACTTCAACTTCAAAGAGGGCCGGCAAGCCTGCCTTAAGGACGGCGGTGCTGCCGTGGCCAAGGTTGGGCAGCTGTATGCGGCCTGGCGATTCTCCCAGCTAGACCGCTGCAACGGAGGCTGGCTGGAGGACGGCAGTGTGCGCTTCCCCATCACCGCTCCCCGCCCACACTGTGGGGGGCTCCCGGACCCTGGCGTCCACAGCTTTGGCTTCCCCAGCAGGCTCCGGAAGAAGTACGGGGTCTACTGTTTCTCTGGGAAGTAGCGGGGGCCAAAGCCCCAGGCGGAGGAGGCCACAACTGAAGAACCAAGGAGGCCAACGGATGCCGTCCTTTTCGAGTCAAAATTCATCGGGACCCCTTGACGGGAACTTCCCACCATCCATTCCTGGAGTCAGAGTTGGCCTCGATGGTCCAGGCTATGGTGGCTTTGACCAAACACCTGTCAGGCGGAGGACAGAGCGTGGGAATGGCTTTGTAAAAACCTCCGTCCCCTCTGATATCCTGGGAAATGACTGCAGTTCTTGAGGTCTTAGTAGTAAAATTGTTCACCCCTTTCCTTTTTTTCTTCCACACTGAAATCTTTTAATATAAGAAATGCTGCCTGGACATTGCCAAGGAAAAAAACCACAAGGCAACGATACAGAGCAACGTGCATCCTTCAACGCCCTTAACAAACTAGGTTACCAGCCCCAATTTCTCCATTGAAATAGGGAACTCCTTGGTTTCACTGACATTATTTAATTAAAAACATTATAATAGAAATACTATAATGTGTTATTTTGTCCTCTGCATTACACTTTTTATGGACATTCTGTTTGCCAATGTGATACGTTGTCCGTGATGCAACAATATAAGCACAAGACAGGTAGAGGGCTACAGTTTGATACCTGAGCTAAATATATTCAGAAAGGATTCCCATGGATTGCAAAGGGCGAAGAGGGAATTCCCCCCTCAGGGGCCATGAATGCATAGGTGGGGGGGGGGGGGGTTGTTTTGAGCCAGTCCCCAGTCCCCGCTGGGTGGGTGGGAGGCATCCCAGGGACAGAGTCCCATCAGATGGGCAGCTGGAGCTCCCCACCACTCGCCCTATTTCGTGTGTGTGTGTGTGTGTGTGTGTGTGTGTGTACACAAAGCTCTTGGGAATAGTTAGCTGTAAGATGAGCAGGGCAGCCCCCAGCTGAGGTGGGAGAAAGAAGGACACCCTTTAAAAGGTAAGTTTAAAGAACCGTTTAGTTATTAGATTATCTTTATATGTACACATATCATAATGTAAAAAAAAAAATGAATAAGAGCAAAAGGCACCACATTCTCCTCCCTCTGTACTAGATCGTGAATCTTAGAAGCCTCTTTGAGTTTGTCCTGTGGTTTTTTGTGGGGGTGGGGTGGGCCCATCACTTATAGCAGGAGAATTCAGAAGAGGAGGGCAAAGCACCCGCTGACACACACACGGTCCCCTTTCTCCCCTCCCTCCCTGCTGCCAAGGAGCCCCCCCCCCGCCTCGTACTTCTAGAACCACTTGGTTCCCATGGCAATGAGTGTCGGCATTCGGGAGCCCCTTCCCCCGACACCCCTGGCCCAGCCTGCTCTGGCACCCCAGGCTCCATCCCCCCCCCCCGCCCCCAGAGATGCCCCCAGCTGTCCAAAGTTCCCAGGGCCCTCGGGCAGAGGCTGCTGGCCTCTAGGACTCTGGGGGGCTGCAGGCAAATTGCGGCCGCTGCCACTGGCCGTTCTCCTGGCAGCGAATGAGAGGCCAGCGGTGCTGAACGAAGCCTTCGGGGCACCAGTACCGGAGGACGGAGTTGACTTCGTAACGCTGCTTTGGTCTGCCAAATATCTGCGCATCGGCCACTTTGGGGGGGGAGCTGCAAGAGACTGGGAGGAAAGTCCAAGGGTCAGTTGGGTCCCCTGCCCAACAGCTGGGGGGGGGTGGCTAGCAGGGTGTCTTTGGGGGCAGCTGGAGGGGAGGCTGGCATCGGACCAGAAGTGCCAAATTGCCCTGAACAGTGTCCAAAGCAGGCTCAGCCGGAGGGAGACGACAAGGCCCAGCGTATCTGCCACACGCAGGAGAACCTGGGCTTCTGTCCAGGCAAACATTGTCCCGCTCTTCCGACGCCCAAAGGGTGGGTCAGGGGGTCCTCTTGGCTGAGCCTAGTGTCTGGATCAGGGACCCCCAAGCAAGCAAGGTAGGTCACCCCCAAAGCCCCTTCCGGCCTGTGGCAAAAGACGAGCTTAGGTGCCCAGCCTGAATTCTTTGCCTTTAGCTGAAGTCTTTCAAAGGGGTCTGGCCTTGGGGAAGGGGCTTCCTCCCCTCAGATACTCACTCAGCCCCATCTTGCAGGTGAAGGGCAGATGGTAGCCACAGGGCAGGTCACTCCACTTCCCATCCTTTTGCCCGGACAGGCCGACACAGTTCTCTCCGTAGAGAAAGTGGCTGTCAGGCTGCCCGTCATGCCAGTTCTCGTACAGCTTCCAGAGCAGGCAGGGAAAGAGAGAGAGGTCAACACTCAGGTCTGGGCTGCTCCTGCGGGCAAGGCTGGCAAAGGGGCGAGGGCTGCCCAGGACGCTCAGCTCACGCGGGGAGGGAGGGAGGGAGGGAGGGAGGGACTTTCCCTGGGCTGCACCGCCCTGTGACCTCATCCCCTGTGGGGGGAAGCCACTTTCCTTAAACCCTGCAGCTTTCTACCCCGAATGGGCTGGAAAGGACAGCCAGCGTCCGTGGGCAGGGCAGGGCTGTTAGGAGGAGCCGGCCTTTTGGCTCGGTCTGCTAGTAAACGTGAAGGATAATAAGAAGCCCACTTGGGATGGGACACCACAGGCAGAAACCTCCTGAGGGGGTTAAGACCATACCAGTTGCGGAGGCATCCCAGGCCCTCCCACTTGAGAGACCCCCCCCCATGGGATTCTCCTCCTTTCCGAGGGCTCCCAGATGCTGCAGATGCTTCTTTGGCAGGACCGAGTTCTACAGAGTGGTCCCCTTTCCAGAGTTCGAGGCCTTCAGCTCGGGGGGCTTTCCGAGCGGCACTTACCAGAGGGCTCCCGTCAGACCACTGGAAGTCCCCTTCTATCGTGCGGTCATTCAGGCCAATCCACTGGTATTCTTTGTACTGACCTGGAAAGGGAGGAAGGGACTCTTCAGCAATGGGGCAAGCATCCTTCAGCCCCCCGGCTCTGGCCCCAGACAAGGGGAGGGCGCACCAAGGACAATCAAAGCAACGGGCGCTGGCTTCCCTCCTGGGGACCCCTGGATCCCCCCACCCCCACTGCACAGGCCAGGATGGTGAGGAGGAAGAACCCAGGGCCCTCCATGAAGGGGACACGCCCGATGCCTGCAAGGGCTGCTGGCACAGGTTCTGTGCAGTCCCAGCCAGTCTATGGGAATTGGATAGTTGCTTAGGAATTGTGAGCTGTCCCCTTAAAGGAATGCATCATGGTAAATGTAGTTAAGGTATCCTGGGAAATGTAGTCCATGTGGCCACATCTGTAATCCTGATTGGTCGCTAAACTGACCCTCAAAAGGTTGGGGAAGTTTTCCCCATTCTTGCCTGAACTCACAAACTCATGGCAGCTGTTTTCTATCGCTAGGAGATGGGTTAGGAGATAACCATCTTTTACTACAGGGCAGATATGCAAAGGATTGGCCATCAAAGAAGACCTTCGTCACAAATGTGAGTTATGAGGACACCTGATGAACCAATCAATGTACTTTGTTATGGACGTCTTGTTGAGTTTATCTGTCTGCATCTGCACAGCTTATAAATCCATCTCTGAACAAGATACAGAAAAATAAAAGATGGTGATCTCCTCACCCATCTCGTACCGATAGAAAGAAGCTGCCATGAGTTAAAGAGTTCAGGCAAGAATGAGGAAAACTCCCCCAACCCCTCGAGGGTCAATTTAGTGACTAATCAGGATTACAGATGTGACATGTACTACATTTCCCAAGATACCTTAACTACATTTACCATGATGCATTCCCTTAAAGCAAGGGTCTTCAAACTTGGCAAGTTAAAGACTTGTGGACTTCAACTCCCAGAATTCCTGAGCTAACATGACTGGAGGAGGGATTCTGGGAGATGAAGTCCGCAAGTCTTAAAGCTGTCAAGTTTGAAGACCCCTGCCTTAAAGGGACAGCTCATCATTCCTAAGTAACTACCCAATTCCCATCGACTGACAGGGACAGAACAGGTTCGCTCAGGCAGCCACGAGAGCCGGACCATCCCCACCAGCCCTGAAGCTCCAAACTGATCCAAGCCCCCTACTGCTGAGGAAGCTCTGCTCCTCCGGAGACAGGATGTTGGCCAAGTGCCCCCCGTGCTCCCTGCATCGCGTCTCGGCATCCTCCCAGCTCCTCCGGGCGGAAAAGTGCTTGTAGCAGAATCCTTGGAAGGCCTCCCAGCCGGGCTGGCACTTCCTCAGGCCTGGAGAGAGAAAGAGAAGCCAGGATGAGTCCGGAGGCCTCCGATGTTGGTGGAAGGACGTTGGTCTTGAGAGGAGGAGGAGGAACGGCCAGCCGGGGTTGCCATGAACAGGGCCTAGAATCGCACGGGAGGCCCCTCTGGCCCCAGGGAGGGCGGCTGGGAGGGGAAAACAAGAAGTTGCTGCCATTGGGTGGTCTGTGACGTGATCCCCCTCCCCCTTTCTGGGGGCTTCCTTTCTGGACGTCTCCCCTCCCCTCTGGTTCACTTAGGCGCATCGGCTGCTACTCGGCCCCAAGACCAGCCCAGTCCCTGCACCTCCTGGCCAGCTTCCCTGCGGCTCTGGCCATCTCAGGGCCCCGTTTACTCACTGACGTTGCAGGCGTCCCCTCCGTATCCCGGCAGGCAGAGGCAGCCTGGGCGCCCCCTTTCTTCTGTGCAAGTCCCTCCGTTCCTGCAGGGGTTTGGCATGCAGGCGTCTGAAAGCAGAGGGGCGAGGGAGGGGGGTCACCGCAGGTGGCTTTGCCCCCTCCCTTTGCCCAGCAGATGAAGCTCAATCCCAGTGAGACCATTTGGACGCACTGGGCCGGAGGGGGGACAAGCAGCGTATCAGGAGGGGATCCAAAGGGGCAGAGAAACAGTCCAGATAGGATTACTGTAAGATGGCTGAATTCACACGATCCCCACGCTTCTACACCGAGGCACAATGGGCTGTGAAATATCCAAGTATCGGATAAAGCGGGGGTCTCCAACCTTGGCCACTTTAAGACTTCTGGACTTCAACTCCCAGAGTTGGCTGAGGAACTCTGGGAGTCGAAGTCCACAAGTTGCCAAGGTTGGAGACCCCTGAAATAAAGCAAGTCCCATTTTTGTGTGATGGCCGTCCGTGTTCAAGCTAGAGGCTTAGCCTGCTGGCTCCTGAAGGGACACATTTTCTGAGCTCGAGCAATTGAGCGGAACCACCAATTAGGGGTTCCTGCAACCCTTTAAGCCACAACGTATCTAAGGCAAAAGGAAAGCTGAGCCAGCTTCACACCTGACTGCTAAGACTGGGGGGATGGCAGTAGATCCTGGGCAAATGCGTGGTGCAAATGCAGCTGTGTTACCTGGCGTGTTTTTGTGACAGGTGAAATGGAAAGCCAGTTTGCCAACCAATTGCAACTGATTAGCCGAGAGGAGCCAAGGAGGTAGAAGTTAGTTCCCGGGAGGTCCCAGTTGCTGGGGAGGGAGAGCAGCAGCAGCCCGTCTGCCTCAGGGGACTCACCTTGATCAGCTACAGCCCAGGTGTCTCCAGCCAGGCTCTCTGTCGGGGCTGTTTGCTTCCTTTTGCAGACTTCACCCCCCCCCACCCCTCCCTCGCCTCTGTCTGCTCCCCAGTCAGCAAGGAGAGGCAGGAAACTCCGCAAGAGGCTGAAGGGGGAAAGGGGGGGAGAACGCTGCAAAAATGCCGAATGCCTCAGCCTGGGATACAGGGGGTGGAGGGCTGGTCTGGTCACCCCTTGAAAGGTGTGTGGCAGGTCAACACCCCTGTTGGGCAGTGTTAGGGGGTTCCACGTGTGCCTGTGCAGAAATGCCTGCCTTTCATCTCTCAGAGGACTTTGTTCCATGTCCCCCTCTCCCTGCCCCCCTCCGTCCCTCCCAGGTGACCCCCATCTCCCCAGAACAAGCACCCCCACGGGGAGGGGCTGAAAGGGATGAACAGCCTCAGACCAAGTCCTGGAGCTGGTCACAGTCCGAGAAATGCAAAAGGCCCAGCGGCTCCACCTCCCCACTGGCTGCCCTGACGCCGGTTCTGCCCTGCACAGGCAGGCTGCCGTTGGGCCGTCAAGGGGGGCCGGCAGCCGCGTCAGGCCGGATCCAGTGACCTAAAGGGCCTTGCACACCTCAGCTGAGCCTGCCTCCTAAGGCAACCCAAGGACGTTGTCATCCCTTTGGCTCACTAGAAGAAAAGCAAACGCAGAATGAAAAGCGGGTGGGATTAATTCAACAAAACTGGACCTCCAGAAAAACGAAAACACGGGCGGAAGATTGCCCTACATACAAAGTTATTCTTCTAGTTTTCTACAGGCCGGGGGATTCGCGATGGAGCTGCTTTAATCTGTGTCACTGCTGTGGGGAGGCCCCCTGGGCCAGCTCTGCTGAGGGTCCCACCACCCAAATTTCTCATGTGGAAACCGCACTGTGTGGTTTTCCAGACTCCTGTAGTTGGCAAAGGGATGGCCCGATGCAACTGCTCCATCTTTCTCTCATCATCAGCCAATTTCTCTTGTGTTTACTTGCCAAGCATTTCGAAATCTGAGTGGGAAGGAAAGGAAAGGAAAGGAAAGGAAAGGAAAGGAAAGGAAAGGAAAGGAAAGGAAAGGAAAGGAAAGGAAAGGAAAGGA